TTATTATTTTTGTAATACAAATTTCTCAATGAAATTTACATCCTTTCATTAGGAAATTTTATATGAAATATTACATAAAAAAATTTCGAAATTTTACATCTAAAAAAGTTATATCCCATGTAAATTTTCGGATGCAAAATTACATGGGGTATAATTTTTTTGGAAGTAAATTTTCAATTGTAAAATTTCTCCCAATTTCTTTGCAAGTTCGATTATACCCCCTTAACGTTGTATAAGCAGCAAAACAAGTCATTTTTAATGGAACTACTTATAGTGCAATACAATTGCAAACTATTTGATTCTATACGGATCATTCACTAGATAAAACACAAGATCAAATGAAGTAGTAAAAACTAAAAAGGAATTCATGTTATCATCACAAATTTCATTGAAGAAAAGTTTTAACTTCTAGTTATTGCACAAAGCACCAGCAACATTTTTTATTAGGAAATTTTCAAAGTTGCCACATTCAAGCTCTTGCTCTTAGTTGATGCTATAGTGGCTTGGACCACATTAAAGGCTACCTAAAACTCAAAACTCTTCATACTTTCCCAAGCCTTCATGAAATAGCCGTATTAATTAAATAGACCTAAGATGCAAAACTTCACAAATAATCCTCATTTGCAAATCTGCGAGACAAACCTGGGACCTGGTGAAAGGCAAAATTGACTATTTACTTACAACCAAATGACTCCCATAAAGGGCGTGACACTCAATAAACCACATACAATTATGACTTCATAAAAAACTAAAAGCTTTGCTGCAGTCACCTTTTTCAGTTGATTACATTCCGAGTACTCTTATTTTAGATTTCTAGTTAAGAAAAACCTTATCAATCACGTCCCAAAAGGATGGCACTAATTAGCCTTTCATAACACGCTATCTATCATTTCATATGAAGTTATTTGTGGCACTAAATTGTCTTGTGATCGAACAACCAAATGTGCTATAAACCTATATCTTCCCAAAAAGGGAAAAGAAGCAACTACATAAATATTCATGCATTCATAAGAAATGATCACATGTTTTATAAATTTTTTCCATGAATAAACTTCACGTCACAACAATGCCAAATACCGGGGAATAAGGTGTGAAGTTCCCATACTGGAAAGTTTTTAATTGCATACCTTTTTTAGCATATTTTACACTATGGCCGACATCATATCTAATTACGTATAAACGATTATTATGACAACGCTCTTCGTTAGCAAATAATTCTCGATGTAAAAACACAACCAAGGAACTGCTCTTTGAATATTAAAAGAGCGAGTCTGCAGGGTCTTCAAAATCTCCTAAAACTTACCTACGACCAAAAACTATATCGATTCAATTATTTCCACACAATGAGTGATTCAATTATTTGATCTCTTGACTAACAACAACAACGAACTAAATGCTCATTTGTTTTACATTGTAATCTTATTGTAATTTAAACATGAAACCAGTGTTCTGAAAACCAGATTGGATTGGCCGGTTCAACCAAGAACCAGCCCAAAAATCTGATTTGGTTATAACTTAAAAACCACTTAATCAAAAAGGGGGGAAAACCTGTCTATTGGCTAGCCAAACTGGGAACCGATTGACTGGTACCGGTTTTCCTGTTTAGCCGGGTGGCTTGACTTCTACCAAATACAAAAAGCAAAAAATAAAAAATAAACAAATTAATGATTTGCAAGCCCCAAAAATGAAAGGCCCATTAACGCACATTGCTCCACCGCTTGCCTACCATTTATACCCTAATTTTAAGTGTTTGGTTGTACAAAAATGCCTATGTGCGATAGCCTAATCTCACTTTCCCTTGTATATTTTATTTTTAAATGGTTAAGATTGGTAGTTGTTTAAAGGAATATAGTGAAACCATTTTTAGTTTTAAAAGTTGGATTACTTACAGATTTTTTTAAAAGTAAAAGTGTTACAAGAAAAGGGAAAATATTTACTTCTTACTCAATGTAGAAAATAACATATTTCAAATATAAATATAAATAATAAAAATGTAAAAGAAAATTGAAAGCCCAAAATAAATTATTGATTTCTTGATTTAATTTCTTTCTTCCTCTTTTTTTTTGATCCACTTTACTCCATTTAATTTTATTTTGTTAACCCACTAAGATGCTACAAAAAATATTTTAGTAATCCAAAAGAAATCATTTTTCTAAATATATTATTAATTTAGACAATTAAGTAATTTTTGCCAAATTTTGTTTGTATATAAATATATTTATTTGTTTATTCACTGTCGATCAGACTCTTGTGGAACCCTGTTCAACTTGTCGACCCTTGATCCTTTGTATTTTTTGGATCAATGCTTGGGCCGATTTTCACAAAATTAGGTCAAATTCAAATTTTAATTTTAACCACAAATTTTTTAAAACGCGTAACTACTATCCACTTATGTTCTATCAGTTTATAATTTCTTCAAAAGCAAAGTCTTCCTCCCAATAAATTTTGTAGGACCGACAACTACTATTAATTTATTTAACACTCATTTCTATTAATTCATAATTATAGCACCTTGTAGTTTCTTCCAAATAAGCACGAAGTCTTCTTCCCATAAATTTTGGGTAGGCGGATTGAATCCTTTTTTGCCATTCTGGTTTCAATTTAGTTCATTGCTAAACTACTAGGAGATTCAAAGCTACTAGATACTTAGCAACATAACACTTAATTAGAATTGGTCTACCCTTCTCTCTTTAATCATTTTCTACTGAAATCATGTTACTTTTATTAGCAATCCTTCCCTTATTTTATCCTCCATCGATGCCACCTCCACTTGTTAGCGTACATTCTCATTTTTTTTCTCATGATTCTTATCCATTTTAGTAATGCCCACACATCCATGTTAGCACTGTCATCTCTGCTACGTCAATTTCTGGACATCTTGTCCTTCAACAACAACACTTGTCTCAAAGAACTAACCTTTTAATCTTGTAGGGTTCTTCTTATCATTAACCTCTTAACTTCATACAGAAAATTATTGAACTTATTCCAATTAATAATATTATTATTCTGTCTGGCTCCACAAATAACAAACATTCTCTGGGTAGTAAATGCAATGAAAACATACCAAGGAATGCAACACAACATTTCTATAGAACTTCCAATTTCCCTTTTTATATGTAATAATACAAAATCATCAAAATAACATTATAAACTCACCTCACCCACATTCACGGTAATAACATGTGGTGTAAATCCAACTCCCGGTGCTCCTACCAACAAGAAAAGAAACTTCATTACTACATCACTTGCATATGAAATACATGTACATATCGATAATAAAAGCATTTGACTGACAACAACCTAGAGCATTCAACTGTCTCTTTCCGGAACCGGGAGGCCTACCACGGTTGCGCTTGGCAGCAGTTTCAAACAATGGCGTCTCACCACCAGAATCAGTGAGGGCCACAGCAGAGGAAATCTTGGTGGCAGGATCAGGGGACAGACCAAGCCCAATGGTGTTATCAGGTGAGTACTTTCTGGGGCGTCCTCTTTTCTTTCTGGCAGACTCAATGCTTAACCCTCCAGCCTCCCCACTGCCACCTGAAGCCAATTTATCAGAGTAGTGATGATCCAGTGGGTTGGACGCAGAGGCAGAAGCCATGGTGTTAAAAGGGTACAGATTTTGTTGTTGCATCATAGTTGCAGTGGTGGTGGCAGAATTATTGTTGCTGGAAATGGTGTAAGAGTTGTTGGGGTGTTGGGTTTGAGCGTGACCCGCATAGATGGTTGGGGTTTGTTGAGGGTGGTGGGGACGAAACGGTGGGGGTGGTGCAGACGGATCCTGAGAATCCATATATCACAGTAGAAGCCAATATAATCCGAAATGAAATTAAAAAAACTGAGAAGAAATGGAGATCGGAAAGAAAGGTGTTTAAGATTTAGGGTTTTACCGATTTATTCTGGTAGGGTAAATGGCTGAATGCACGGCTTTAACTGACTGAACTGAACTGAACAACTACTCCATCTTCGTGGGCGGGTTGGGTCGTACCCATCACATAATCCAGTGGATTCGATTGGACTCTTCCTTAGTTTTGGCCCGCTTGCTCATTTTCAAAATATATATTTTTCTCTTTTTTTTAACCACGCATTTTTTAATAAAATAATACTACACATAAATTCAAAATTTTCTCTTATTTTTTAGCAATACATTTTTGATCAATATACTATTTCAAAATGCATTCTTAAAAAAAAAAAAAAATGAGACTCAAACAGGCTCTTAAACTATTTCTATTTTGAAAACAATGTTTAGCCCATGCTTGACAACCATTTAAATGAGGTTTTTGAGAAAAATAAGTTTTGAAATAATAATTTTTTGAAGTAGGAAAAAGTTTTGGATTTGTGTACAGAATATTTTATTGTAAGAATGTGTTGTTGAAAATGAATTTGAAAAAAGAAAAATTATCCCTTGTTTGGTCCCATTATTTTCAAAATATATATTTCTCTCTTTATTTCAACCACAATTCTTCAATAAAATAATATTACATGCAAATTCAAGACTTTTCTTACTTTTTAACTATACATTTTCCAACAAAATACTATTTCAAAATATCACTATAATATAAAAGAGGCTAGCTTTTGCTGGACACGTGTCGCAATTTTCTATCGACAACATACTTTTTTTCTTTTTTCTTTTTTGTCTTCACGCTACCATCACTTCGTTCATTTTCACACAAAACGTGAACACCCCTTGTTCATTTTCCTTTCCAATTTCCTTCACCCCGATGTTGGCGCCTCCAAGACCTACCCACAACAAGCTGAAACCATTTGCCTCCATCTCATCCAAAAAATTGAGCACAACCAACATCA